GGTGTAACAAAAATCATTATTGTAAAATACACGTAGTAATTACAATATAACTATAGGCAACAATTTATATTAAAGAACAGTTGTGACTGTTATAGACTACATGCTGCTAATTACCTTAAATCTTTGAAGAATACTGTGATCTACCGCTTCACCAAAATAAACAGAATTTTATAAATAACAATTCTGGCATAAAAGAATATTCTAGTTTTATGGAACTCTGATTTCCTGGAGTACCTGGAGTGCTGGGTTCAGCTCTGGGATTCTCAGTACAGGAAAGACATGGATCTGTTGGCACAGTCTGGAGGAGATCTACAAAATTATCAGAGAGGTACAACATTTATCCTACAAGGAAAGGTTGAGGGAGCTGTTTTTTTTTTTTTTTATTCTGGAGATGAGAAGGTTGCAGGGAGACTTTATTTCAGGGCTTATAAGAGAATTGGGCACAGACCTTTTAGTACTGACTGTGGCAATAGGAAAAGGGGTGATGATTTTAAGCTAAAAGAGGGCAGAGTCTCACTAGATATAAGGAAAAAGCATCTTATGAGGGTGTTGAAACATTGCCATAGGCTACTCAGAGAGGTGGTGGATGCCCCATCCCTGGACATATTCAAGGCCAGGTTGGACAGTGCTCTGAGCAACCAGGTTTAGTTAAAGACATCCCTGCTCATTGCAGGGAGTTGGACTAGATGACCGTTAAAGGTCCCATCCAATACCAAATGTGCTATAATTAAAAGTACAATAAAAGCTTACTAAATTATATTTCTGGTCTTCCCTCAGCCACTCCTTCCAATAAGTAGTTGTGCCATGAGATATTAAAGGTGTTTTGCTGGAATGTATTTATAGAATTACGAAATTAACCTATAGTTTTTATAGGTACCTACAAAATGGTGCATAACTGTGAATTCCTAAGATATATTGCATTGACCTGTCAGGGGGATCATATTTAGGCTATTTGAGTGAGCAGCATTCAAATAATAGAGCACTGGAAAGAAATATTCGTATCTTAGAGGTCTAGCCGTTCAAACTCTGACCCACAACCCTCTTATTCTACTAAAAAAAATTTTATTTCCCTGTATTATATTACGTATTGGCTTGCAGGCCAGATGGTTTGGATGTGGGCTCACTAGAACAAGGTTCAGCAGTCAAGAAGTTCTGGTGGTTATTAAAATACTATTACTTAGGACATTAAATTTCAGTGCCACAAAAGATGGTAAATAATAGTGCATTTGCCAGTCTAAGGTATAAATTCTAAACCAAGTCATTTGACTAGTAAGACAAAAATTTAAGCAAATTGCTCCTAAATGAATTAATGCAAATGTTCAGGTCTAACTGCTCTTAAGTTTTTGCTACAGGTAAATATGAAATAATAAAGGAATCCATAGAACTGCATTTTAAGAATTTTTGTTGAAAGCAGGGAAGGTGGTCAATGACATCAAGGCTTAACCTCTGTTTTTGCACATTTGGTTTTTTATAATTTGATGCATAAATTACAAATGTTTTATTTATTTTTTCCCTAACTTCATTATGCCTCCTTCTGTACACATTCTAAATCTCTAACAATCTCATAACAAATTTCATATCAACTGCTAAATGAGTTCTATTTTATGATAACAGAAATAAAACTCAGTCTGTATTTTGGGTAACCATGAAATGTAATGTGTATGCTTTTAACAGTGTATATATTTGCTCTATCAGCTGCAATAGTCCTTATATTGAATCAATATATCATCAAATAGGATGTATACTACAAATTAATTTTTTTTCTTTAGCGATTGTTAGGTTACTGTAAGGTATCATCTTTCACCACATTTATCTTTCGTGAATTTACATACTGCTAACATTCAGATATTAGTGTTTTTATAAAAGAATTTATGTTACTCACACTCTGTGTTTCTAGTTTGTTCTCCATAGGAAATATTGCAAATTGAAATACATCATAAAAGAAAAGCTTAATGTTGTAAAATACTCAAATAGTTTATGTCAGAAAATAAGAATTTGCCAAATGAGCCTGAAAAGATTTGTGAAATAGAGATGTAGCATGATGAACTGATTTGAATTTCTACTGGTAAATGCTTGACTCAAAATCAAGATGTTTTCTCTTCTCTGATGTAATGAAACTCAATGTCCACATTTTATTTTATTTTATTCGACAGGTCAGAGAAAATAATGATTAGTGTGTGGCAACACAGAGTTTGTTAAATGATAAAGGACAATATGTAAAACAGTATGTTCTATCTTCAGGTAGTGAAGCAAATAAATGTTTTTATAAAAATTGTAGAAAAGGCCACTTGCTACTAGGAAAAATGCAAAATTAAAAGTAATGCTTAACAGGAAATTTTAATTGTGAAACATTTGGAAGGTTAAAAACATTTGGACTAGGTTAAAAGTAAATGTAATAATCTTGTTGTCAGGTTTAATAAAGTTTTTTCAATCCTAACTAAATGATGTAAGAAAATCCTGGTTTTTGATTGGGAAAAGTCTGAAGATTAAATCCTGCACTAAGATTAGGGTTCATTCATGCAAACACTAGACATTTTTATGCTAATCCTCATCCTCACACTGACCCAGAAAAACCTGTAAGTACGTTCTTTACCCTGAGAGTGCGCAGATACCCTTTGAAGGTTGAAGAATTATAAGTGTACATACTATTCTGCGAAGAGCACTGAGGGATTCGTACAGTCTCCTGGTGCAGAAGACTCTGAGCCTCTGTTGAGGTTCAGCACTGGCCAGTATCTGAGTCCTACCAGTCATCGCCACTGGGAGGGGGGAGACCTTCAAAGAGTGGAAGGAAGAAAACTCATGGCTTGAGATAAAAAGCGTTTAAACAGCACAAAACTGTGCTTGCAAGTATAATGGCTACTTGGGAAGGCAAACACTTCAACTCTTAATGCCCCCCTTTTCTCCTTCCTCCAGGTTTTATTCCTGAGCACAGAGAATCACAGAATGGTTTGGGTTGGAAGGGACCTTCCACAATCCCAGGTTGCTCCAAACCCCATCCAACCTGGCCTTGAACACTTCCAAGGATGGGGCAGCCACAGCTTCTCTGGACAACCTGTGCCAGGGCCTCACCACCTCACAGTAAAAAATTTCTTCCTAATATCTAATATAAATCTCCCATCTGTCAGTTTAAAACTGCTACCCCTCTCCCTATAACTACACTCTCTGATAGAGTCCCTCTTTCCTGTAGGCCCTCTTTAAGTACTGAAAGGATACTGGTCTTCCTGGAGCCTTCTCTTCTCCCGGCCAAACACCCCCAGCTCTCCCAGTGTGTCTCCAGAGCAGAGAAGCAGAAAAGATGTTTGCAAGACTGATGTCAAAGTCAAGGACACAAGATGTGTAGACACATTCATTTTACTAGTGGAGCAAACCTAGGGAATCGAGAATAGTAAATTCTTCATTTCCTCTGTTTTTGACATTAGGGTGGTACAAATGATTGATTTTTGGTTTGTTATTCATTTAAAACAATAAATCAAGGTGGTGTTTTTAGAGGTACGCAAAAAAAAAAGAGAATAAAACTCATAAAACAGTCATAGACATAACACCCACCTCACATCATATATACAGTCAGTGGTTATATCACTTTTTTTAAATATGGAAAACATGAAATCAAATTATCTATTTGATACACCTGCAGTCAGTCCTCAAACTTAGAGTATTCTGTGTTGAATTTCAATAATGCAACCTTATGTCTATAAGATGAAAGCTGTACTGGTCACACAACCTTAACCATGTTCTATTTCACTCAGTCACAAATTATGATTCTTGGGAGAGAAGGAATGGGGTAATATTTGATAATTTCTCAAATGTAGAATGAGATCAGATAACACAGGCCTTCAGCCTAATATAAAATGTTAAAATCTACTTAACTAGATTCTGGTAGTGATATTGAAAAAGTATTGTTACTACTATGTAGGAATTTAAAATAAGTCAGATTCTTTTATAAAAATATTTTTCTCTGTTGACTACGAAGAGAATATTGATGACTAACTCTGAGTCCAAATCTATATCACAGATGGTACAGGTGAGTGAAACAAGCCCCAGCCTGGGGACCAGGCTTGTACACAAAGAAATCTCTTCCATTTCTTCCACAAAATAACCTGTTTTCTGAACACATCTCTTATCTGCCCTCCTTATTCAGTGAACAATCAAAAATCTCAGACATGGTTTCATGTCATGTATAGCCCACTGTGTAATTTTGGTCATTTTCTGCCTTGCAGCAGAAAAATGTGAAGACAAGTTCTGTCCTGTTGCTCGCAGCAATTAAATCAGAGCTTTGCTTTCCCGTAAGTCAACAGGACAGGAGGCAGTTTATTACATATATTTGTTGTAGACATACCAAGCCACTTCCTATTCAAACTTTCATGGTGAACCTGCATGATGTTGTTGTTTCACACAAGTTGTTTTACTTACTGTTTAATCTGCAACGGAATGAGTAGAATAAATCAACATATGAAAACAGGACTGCATTTTGTTGCACACATAGCCAATACTAACAAATACTGTGGAGTAACCATAGGCTAGGATTTTATTATCAGCTTATAAACAAAGTAAGGATCAGGTTACTTAAATAAATGGACTGCCTTAGAGCATTCAGATCAGTCAAGTGAATCTATTGAGTATAAATCATAGTATTGTCCTTCTTCAGAGATACCTTTCTGTGAACTGTGTTGGAATTTTATTGGAAACCTGTATAATATCATGGATCTAACTAAAAGAGATTTTATTTGAGGCTGATTTTTTTTTCAGAAGAGAATAATGGTTAATATATTTAATATGTATAAGTTTCTATAGGCAAAGACCCATATCCCAACAAAACTTTGAAACTTTAGGCACCTATCTCTAAAATTTACTCTCCAAAACCATAATTTCAGGTGCCATCTAACACAGATTCTGGCAAATCCAGATTTGATGGAACAATGTTTAACCTACCATTTTTGTGTCTTAGACTTTGTTTTGTTTGGAGAGGTCCAGAAGTTACTGTCCTGGACTCTATTTTCTTTGTCCTCAGCCTTCTGAAATATCCTGTTATTGGGGCAAAATAAAAAGGACACTTCAAAATGTAGCTATGGGACCTCTAGGTATTCATAGTGCTGGGATTCTTGAAGAAGAGTTCCTTCCTAAAATATATTGTGATCCTGAGGCTGGGCCCATATTCATATGATGCCTCAGTTTCACTCTGGAAATGGATTTATTTTTCCCCTCAAGGTTTGGGTGGTCAAATTCATATTTCCACCCACCACCCTGTAGTTTTGGGTAGCTGAATGACCTCCACCCTTGGTGAAATTTACTCACTATGCAGAAAGAAAAGATGATCCAGTGGATACCGTCAGGATGGGTGAGAGGTTATCTCTGTAAATATGTTCTTTGAAAATTCATCCTAAAAACAAAAAAAAAAATGCCAATCAGAAAAAATTTATACTTTCACAACCACAGGACTGTAGATTATGGCCAAAATGCAGCTCTGATCTGACCTTGTCTGTGATCACTCACTTCAATTAAGCCATTCCAAATTAATTAATTATGCCATTTACACAGCAACTGTGCCATGAAGGGGCCATTTAAATTCATCCATCTTCAGGGTGGAAACCAAGGTCATATTCATGGATGAGCATACCTTGATTTTCTAAATTGTCTTTGATAGGGATTTAAAGTACACCACATATGTTCTTAGACACTCCCTCCAATTAGTACTCATAAAAAAGAACTCCACTTCTTGATGACTGTCAGATGACAACAGTAGTATGTAGCCTATATTTTTGTTAATAAAATAAAAATCACATGAATAAAAAGCCCTTCGAGTTATCAAGGCAGAAGAAATCATCTATTGTAAGAAACAAATAAAATTCACACTTTCAAGGTGAAATATCTAAAATAATTTTTGCTGTTGAAAACAAAGGCCACTTTTCAGGCTGTTCAGAAAATGAGTTAAAAAAACTGGCCGAAGGGATCTGAAATGCCTGGAAACTGTCTACACAGACCTCAACAGAGTTTTTAGGCAGAGTGCTGGATGAAAAAACCCAGCAGCTGTGAAAACCAAGAATTTTATTTTTCTAAAGTGCTAAACAACTTTGGCTTGGCTATTTTCTGGTGCTACAAAGGAGCTGACCACGCTGTGAATAAAATCAGCACTAGCAAAGTCTTCTAAAGGAATTTATCTCATTCTTCCTTCCTTTCATTTTTTTTAAGAAAAGGTTACTATGCAGCTCAGATGCATAAAGTTAAATCCCAAGATACGACATTGTTTCAATGTCCCCATTAATTTAACTCAGTAAGGCATTCAGCACAGGAATATGTTCAATTTAATTCTTTTATAGATCTTTACATCCCTCAAAATGCTCATTTGTGGGGGCTTTTTTCTTTTTTCAAAGCACTGTGAATGTCTTTGTAAACATAAATTGAGGTAGTAGATGTACACACCAAAGTTTCTTTGCAATTTTCATAGTCTGGGGTTTTTTTAAGTCTCAGGTTGTTATACTGAATAAGAGTGTTTAAGGTCATGTGATATTAGTGATTTGTTGAAAAGTATTAGTTGCAAAAATTTTTCTTGAAACTCTGGTGGTTTTGATTTTGTCTTTTGTTTAAAGCTGGCAGATAATTCCAGAGAGAACTTAGCTAGCCCAATGAATTCTTTCACAAACTAGTCAGCTTCTTTCGAAAACAGCTGAACAATTTTCTTTCACTATTTTTATCACGAAAATAAATAAACAAACAACGAAAAACAACAGAAGAACCCCACAGACAATAAAGTAACTGAATTATTTCAGTTATTAAAGGCCTGTGAAGGAAACACATCTTCATAAATTGAAGATTGGTAGAAAACTTCAAATAACAAATAGAACAAATTCAAGTAAACTACAGCCTGGAAAGAGTAAATTTGATTTTTTTTAATATGTATTTCATTATTATAAGAAAGAAGAGCCTATCAAGCCCACACAACTGGTTAAAGAAATTTTACACTCTTTTACTTTCATTGAGAAAGTTTTATTCTTGAGTTGTTATTCTTCATATATTCTCTGATGTGGTTTATAGAGAGGACAAAATATTAATAGAGGGGACAGAAAAAGGTAACAGAAATTTGCTGGATTTTAGACTATGTGCCTTACAAATGCGGCCTTAATAGTTATACTTAGGTCTCTTGCATTTTTTTTAACAATACAATTGATTAATCACTTCCAGAAATGTACATTCCAGCAGGAGAAAGTATTATGTTTACAAGGATAAGTCACAGTTAGTGAGATTAAATATTTAGAAAATTACATTCTTCATTTATTATTTCTGTGAAAAATTTTGCTTGCTAAATAAAGGCCTTCTGCATTAATCTTTTCTTTCACTAAGTAAGTTTAAGTAACATGGACAGAGTTAATAATTTGGATATTCCAGGTCCGTTACTCAAGTTAGCTCAACCAAAGCCTAAGATGTATGTGCAGACATATCCTGAGTGTGAAGTCAGAGAGGCTGCAGGGTTCATAATTCTACATATAAACAATTAAATTCCCAAAATGGCAAAATCTTCTAAGATAAATTCTTCTAAGATTGAATTTTCAGATTAATATTGGGGGAAAAAAAGAAGACACATAAAAGCCTACTACTGCAATGAGGATAGAAACACATTAGGACACAGAAAGAAGCAATATTGCAACCATAAAAACAGTACTTTATGACTTGCAATTATTCTTACATGATATGAACAGTCAAACATTCATTTATTTGCTTTTTTTTGTCTGATTTTTTTTTCCATGAACGGTACAGCTGTGGATGTTTCGTTTTGCAACACGGATTGCAGAGAGTATTTGACTTCCATTACTGACAGCAGTTATCTCAAATTCTAGTTTGCTGTGGAAATAGAGGGGACTATAAATTCATTTTTATAAACTTTCTGAGTCAGTTCCTTAATATTCTCTTTCAATTACCTTCTCAGAGATATTTTTTTTTTTTAATAATTGCAAACGGGATGGTGACAGATAAAGATCTTTAGAAGCTATTTTAATTTTAAAATAGAAGTGGTACATTTTTCAATAGCTGTGTTTTCTCTTACAATGAATGACAATGGCTATATATATGAGTTTTTCCTGCAGTTTAAGCTGTTGAATGACTCTAGACTGCTTCACTAATTTGAATAGGCTTTTTCTAGATAATTAATCTTACATGAATCAGATTAGAACGAATAAGAGAAGCATTGCACTGAATAAGAGAAGCATTGCACCCAAATCACCTCCAATTAATAGCAAGTAAAATAACTATTAAGTTATTTGGCCCCGTTAAAGAAACGTGTTGCTCTCAAGAACAAAAGGAGATTTGAGATACACACACACACACACACACACACATATATATACACGCACGTAACTCTTCAGACCTGCTAAGAACAATCTTCCCTTCTTAAGTTTAGTGTATAGTGAAGAGGAAAAGGAGTAAAAACACTTATCAAAACTATCCCCAAGCAACTGCAGCCGTGAATCACAGAAGAATTCATCTGCAGTAAGAAACAGAGTCATCATGAAGTTATGGAGTTTAATATACCCAATTTGTCTCAATTTGCAGACCAAAACTACTCATTTTATTGACTTACAGAGGGAAAGTAAGATAGTAGTGCTGCAAATAGAGAATTTTTTTGCTTGTGCTCCTTTAACAAACTTGATCTTTGTTTTCTCTTCTCCTAAAAAATTCAAATGACAACTTGTGGAAAAACTGAGGAATTTAATGCAGAAATTGGGACAGGCAGCACAGTAATAAAAAACTGTGTCACTTCTTTTGCAAACAAGATTATATATTAGGACAAGTAGAAATCAATATTTCTCTATTTCTCTATCAGCAAAACCTATTCTCTCTGAAGAAGTATGTTGCGGCCAGAAATAAATTAAGAGGTCAGAATCCTGTGAAGAGGTACAAGTCAAAGACTGATTATTTTCATATAAAGTCCAAATTTACAGAGCAGTGAAGTGCAGCAGCACATCCTGCAGAACAGAGTGTTTATGTATGTGACTTCAGAGAACATATGGACACCAGTGCTTCACTCTAATAGAGATATAATTTTTATACTGCCTCAATATAAATAAATTATATTGTAAATATGAACTGTGTAGGGCACAACCTTACTCAGGCACTGGTACATGATTGACCACAGAACACAGCTCTTATCACTCTGCCCTGATGCCAGACATGATTTTTGAGGCATCTCTTGCCCAGGGCCAGAGTGTAAGATTTCAGGGTAGAATGAAACATATAACAAGAAGAAATCTAAACCCGCCCTTTTCTGTATCCGACCTCTGTAATAAAAAATTTCCATACACTGTAGAAAATACAGTTTTGTCAGACAGTCAACATAGCTTTTATTTTGAAGTCTAATTAATTATACAGCAGCAGCAAGGATATTTTACCCCATACAGTAACATGCAGTCCCAGAAATTGTATCTCTTAGAAATGAAACTCAGGTTTTCCAAGTATGCACTGGGTTTGGGAATATCAAAACTGTGTCCAAAACTTCAAGATGGGGAGTTGTCCAGGTTTCTGTCAATAGTCTTTGCTACCTTAGATATGTAATAGAAAACTAAGAGCTTTAAATTGAAACTGTCATGCTTGTTCAGTGAATTAGTACGGGTAAAAGAGTAAAGAACTCAGAACTTCATTATGAGCACTATGCCTAATGTGGAATGACTGTTCTTCCAGCCCTAGATTATTTCCTCCTTAATAAGCAGAACTGTTTCTTCATTATAATGTTTCTCAAATGAGACCTCAGTCCTTTAACTTTGATTCTCAGAGCAGAGAGTTATTTCCCCTTAACTAAGAATACTGTGAATAAAAGTGTGACTTCTGCAAGCCTATCCTACAGGAATAAAATTTGAAGTTCATGTAAGCCATTCCACACAAAACTGTGTTAGAGAATTGACAGCATGCTTCAATAAGCTTTGAAAAAAATCACAGGGAAAAGTAAACAAAATAAATTATTTTGGGACAATACAAGGCACCAATCTCTAAGTAATATCAGTAAAAATGAGGCTATATCAAGGGAAAATAAGTTCTTTAAGAATACTCCCCCCTTTTTGTTCTTTCCTTCCTTCCTGCTCCCCCTCCCCCCTTTTTTCCCTGGGAACAATTTAAAGATTTCATTGTGTGCCATTTTTCCATGAAACAGTAAATTATGTTCTGAGTGAACTCAAGTTTCAAGGCAAGGGAAATGTGCACATTTTAAATGAGACAACTTAAAATTTGTCTGTAATACTATCTCATGTCACTGCTTATTGCATCTGAGTCTAAAATGTAGGTTTCTTGAGAGAATATAGACTAATATGAAGAATAATAACTAATAGTAACTAATCCAGAATATCTGTTATTATCTGTTAATACGTCTGCTACTCTCTGACACATAATACAGTGATTACCAACTTGCTGTCTTTAGACCCCCCCGAGTCCTCCTCATTGCTTCAGAAGTAGTACATGAAAGTATATGAAAACTTACAAGGGAAGCTAGAAGATAGCTATGCATCTATATAAAAAACCCAAGAGATTCAGAAAATGCTAGAGGTTTAAAACTGTACCAAAACAGTTGAAATTGCCTAAAACTCTTGAGTTTTACATAGTTTTCCTCATTTCTGTTCACATAACTTGACATCATTGGTCTAGTATTTTATAGCTACAAATGTTTGACTGCTCCTTTGAAGGATTTTTTGACTGTTACAACTGTGGAATATCAGGGTTTATTTGAAGTCACCACACATACTGTGATTTAAAGTCTCAGCTTAACCTTATTGATAATTTTGTTGTGTAGTTAAGTTCATTACAGAGAACTGAACCTTCAATTCAAACTCTGCCTGACCTGTACACTCTCCTTGTCTTTAAATAATGCCATGAGTTACTAAGGAGTAAACTCCTTATCTTCTGAGACACATGTGGAATAATTAATTCAGCACTGTCAGTAAAGCCCAGGTTAAGTGTGAGGAAATGATAAAATGAAGCACAGAAGACCTACTTTTCTATCATGCCACTTTGACAAGTAATCCATAAAATAACAAATATGAGATCCTGTAAGGCTTGTGTAGAAGCACAGAATCACAAAATTATTAACATTGGAAAAGACCTTCAAGGTCACTGTGTCCGACAGTTAATCCAGCACCACTGTGTTTACCTCTAAACCGTGACCCCAAGTGCCATATCCACATGGTTTTGGAACACTTTTAGGGATGGCAATTCCACCACTTCCCTGGGCAGCCTGGGCAGCCTGTTCCATTGCCTGACCACCCTTTTAGGGAAGCAACTTGTCCTAGTATCCAGTCTAAACCTCTCCTGGTGCAACTTCCCCAGAACATACTGAGACAAAGCTGAAGGTGTATCACAGTGGTCAAGCTCTTTTGCCTGTGCTGATCACAGTGGTCTCAAGAGAATTGTGGATATCCAGCTCAGGATATTTGAAAAGCTTTTCAGTTAAAACTGAGAGTCATGAATCTGCTAATCAAAGTATCTGTGCATGTACGTTATTGCCCCAGACTGACTTTGCTGCCTGCAAGGATATGTAGCTACAGCAAAAACTTTCACCATACAGCTGCAGGACTAGTTTACTTTGTTCTAGTTTACTTTGGCTGAATACCAAGCACCCAATTTGTTATGATTTCTAGGATTCCAGGGCGATTTGAGTTTCCAATTCGGGCATGCTGTGTAATCAAAGCAATCCACTTGCTTCATGTAGCATCAGTAGCATGATGGATAGGGGGCACCTTTCCTTTGAACATCCAGCTCAGCACCAGTAGTTGGGGTGCTAGGAGGAGCTGTGTTTCTGTGCCAATCACCTCTGAGGCTGCTTGTATTCCTTCATAAGCTGCTAGGATTTTCTCCTCTGTGGAGGTGTAGTTGGCTTCAGATCCTCCTGTAGTGGTTGGCCTCGGGTCTTACCGGGCACTTTTTGCCAAAGGCTCCAGGAGGGACCATTATCCCCAGCTGCAGAATAAAGCACATTTTTCATATTTGGTTCTGTTCTGACTGGTCTAAGGGCCACTGTGTATGCAATCTCCTGTTTAATCTGTTTAAAGGCTTGCTGTTGTTCAGGATCCCATTGGAAATCATTCTTCTTACCGGTCACTAAGTAAAGAGGGCTCATGATTTGACTGTATTCAGGAATATGCATTCTCAAAAAACCTATGGCCCCCATGAATGCTTGTGTTTCCTTCTTGTTAGTTGGTGGAGCCATCGCTATGATCTTGTTGATGACTTCCATTGGAATTTGACAGCGTCCATCTTGCCATTTCACCTCTAAAAATTAGATCTCTTTGACAGGTCCCTTGACTTTACTCATTTTGATGGCGAAACCAGCTTTGAGGAGAATCTGGATAATTTCCTTTTCCTTTTTCAAAAATTTCCTCTGCTGTGTCCCCCCATACAATAATGTCATCAATATATTATATGTGTTCTGGAGCCTCACCCTTCTCTAGTGTAGCCTGAATCAGTCCGTGGCAAATAGTGGGACTGTGTTTCCACGCGTGGGTCAGACTGTTCCAGGTGTACTGCATGCCCCTTCATGTGAAAGTGAACTCTGGCCTGCACTCTGCTGCTAAAGGGATGGAGAAGAATGCATTTGCAATATCAGTGGTGGCTTACCGTTTCTCTGCCTTGGACTCCGGTTCGTACTGGAGCTCCAACATGTCTGGCACAGCGGCACTCAACGTGGGGTGACTTCATTCAAGCCATGATAGTCTGCAGTCAGTCTCCATCCTCCATCAGACTTACATACAGGCCAGATGGGGCTATTGAAAGGTGAGTGAGTCTTACTGACCACCCCTTGGCTCTCCAGCTCTTGGATCATTTTATGGATGGGGATCTTGGTTTGTTTGGTACTGTCATCTATGCACTATTTTAGTGGCCGTTGGCACTTGTTGATCTTTGACTTGTAACAATCCCACAATGGAAAGATCTTCTGATAGGCCAGGCAGGGTAGATAATTGTCTAAATTTCTCTGTAGCCACTGTGGCTATACCAAAAGCCCATTGATACCCCTTTGGGTCTTTGAAGTATCCTCTCCTGAGGTAATCAATGCCAAGGATGCAAGGGGCCTCTGGACCAGTCACAATGGGGTGCTTTTCCCATTTGTCTCCTGTTAAACTCACTTCAGCCTCTAGCACTGATAATTCTTCATGTCCCCCTGTCACCCCATAAATCCAAATGAGCTTTTATGCCTTGATGGCATCAAGGTGCACTGTGCACCAGTGTCTACTAAAGCTTTATATCTCTGCAGATCCGATGTGGTAGGCCATTGAACTCACACAGTCCAGTAAACCCTATCATCCCTTTCCTTCTCCTGGCCAAAGGCAGGGCCCCTCTATTGTTCTTGATCAGAGTATTCACTGTCTGATCCTTCATTGCCCAGTTAGAGGTTCCCTCACTGGGATCACAAGAATTGTCTTCGGTCTTTCTGCTTCTCAAAGGTCGCTGATCTCTTTCCAGGGCCTCTGCAGCAACTATGTGGACAGCCTTCTTACTAAGTTTCTTCCCTCTCAGTTCTTGTACCCGGGCTTCAAGTTTATAGGTAGGTTCACCATCCCACTTCTGTGTGTATTCCCCTTGGTCACGCAGAAAGAACCATAGCTCACTATGTGGTCTGCTCCTGGGGTTTTCTTTCCTCCTGAGTTGGGCAGGAGGAGACCGAGACTGAGACTGGTTTCTTAGGCTGTTTTTGCAGCGATTCTCACATTCAGGACATTCGTGAGGCCTCTCCATCCTCTCCCTAGTGTGTGTTCATTGGTGTCGGACATCGGAGCTTTCTCTGAAATCTAACTTGCTAGCCCAACAGAGTGAGGAAGCTTCCACACCTTCTGCTATACTCCGTATGCAGGCACAGATCGTATCCACATTTGGTTCATTCATCCTTGGATGATATAGTGTTATCAGACAATTAACATATGATGCAGGGACACCTTGAACTACTTTTCTCCACAAGGGCAGCATGCAAGGAACATGCTCTGGATTTTGGTAGCGGGGGTTATCTGGGTCACTGTAAATCATTTCCAGCATGGCTAGTTCCTGAAGGTATTGGACACCTTCCTCCGCAGTAGTCCATCTTCTTGGAGAGCTCATTCGATCTTCTTTAAATGGGTACCTTTCTCTCACAGCAAAGAGGATCCGGGTCCAAAGACTGCAAATAAATCTCTCCCTTCCAATTTCCAGTTCAATTTCATGATCTCTGGCAATAGATCCTAGTTGCTGTGCTTCATGACCTTCTAACAGGTGACTTCTAGCCCCATAACCCAGCGTCGGAGCAGCCAGGTAAGAATTCGTTCCCCAGGCTGGCGGCTGTAATCTCTCTGCAGTTCCTGAAGTTCTGATGGGGTCAGGGACCGGGTAACTTTGTTCTCCTGTCTAGTTTCCTCTCTGCTTCTCTCACGTGGAAGTGGAGGTGGAAGCACCGGCTATTTGTCCTGTCTCCCTTTCTTCTCTTGGAGGCATGAGTGGGGTAGATCCTTCTCCTTCTTCCTCCCTTACTAATCGCAGAGGTAGGCCTGTAGGTCTTGCAGACCTCCTTATCCATGTCTTCCTTTTCATTACAGGGGCAATAGTGACTTCAGATGTCATGGTTTGGGTCCTTGTCTCAGTCACAGTCTTTTTAGAATATTGAACAGCAGCTTGGTAGGCACAGGCTAGGCCCCAGTATAGGGTGAGAAGTCGCTGGTTTTGATTGGGGTAGGCAAGGCATCCTTCCATCAAACGACATGTCAGTTTGTTGGGGTTGAATAATTGTGCTGGTGTGAAGTCCCAAGCAAGAGGGGGTGTTAGACGCCCTAAGAACCTGCCTAAATTCATCCACATCCTTTGCCATCCAGGAACTGGCCCCTTTAGAGAACATCCTAGTAAAAATTCTCTCTCGAAGTTGGTTTTGTCCTGGCACAAGGCAACAAAAACAACACTACCTTCCCCACTGCCCATAATGTTTTAAGAGCATTGGTTAAAAGAAGTAATAAAGCCAAACAACTCAGGTACGGATTAGTAAGGATCGCGGGTGCTTTCATTACCAGGCCATCTATGTCAAAATGAAGAAGAGAAATAAGGTTGATTTCTTTCCCTTCTGTGGTTTTTTTCCACACCCTATCAGAACTGTTAGTAAAATTACAGGTGTCCCCACAAGAACTGGGCAAATTGCCATGTTTTTGTTATATGTTCCTGGGTTAGTATAAGCAAATAGATAAGTGAGGCAGTTGTTTTTATAAACAAACCATCTTGGCAGTTTTCCCAGCCAATGCACCAAAAACTGTTCTAGTTTGCTTTGGCTGAATACCAGGTACCCACTGGGCCTGCACCCGAGTTCCCACGGAGGAAAGGGGATGGGGGAAGGAGAGAGGGAAAGAAAAAAAAACCTATGAGAAGTCAAAACTGCTAAGAAAGGTTATTTATATTACACAAAGATAGGAAACACTATAGGCAGTATGTATACAAAAAAAAAGGTAAAAACAAATAAAGATACTTCCCAAACAACTGACGCTTTCTTCCCAAAACCACAGTGTTTGGTGACTGGAAAAGAAGAGAGGGATCTCTTCCTTCCTGGCTGTTTAAATAGCTAGGCTGATGTAACATCACATTGAATATCCTGTTCCTCCTGGGAAAAGGAAGTGCCATTTGAGTACACAAACCCATTATAGATATTTGAAAAGCTTTTCAGTTAAAACTGAGAGCCATGAGTCTGCTAATCAAAGTATCTGTGCATGTACATTATTGCCCCAGACTGACTTTGCTGCCTGCAAGGATGCGTAGCTACAGCAAAAACTCCCACCATACAGCTGTAGGACTCATACCCAGGTCCAGTTCCATGCCTATGATAACCTCCTGGTAGAGAAATCACTTTGTTGTAAAAAATTAAAAAATAAATAGCAAGAAGCTCACTACACTGAGCCTGCAAATGTCCTTTGGAGTAATTAATTAATGAGCATAAGGTGGACTCAGATAAGATATCATTAAAAGCATTGGCAGCCAGGTGATGGTGATGCAGAGTAACCATTTAATTCAGTTTTGTCCTTTGTCAAACCTTGTAGCTGTTTGTAACATCAATAAGCAAGTTCTATGCATCTTCTGTGTTTATAAGTAATTGTTGTGGTCCAGCCCCAGACAGCCAACAGGCCCCACACTCATTTCCCCACCATTGGGACGGATCTGAGAGAGAATTGGAAGGGTAAAAGCTGGTAAACTCGTGGGTTGAGATAAAGAGAGTTTTATAGGGAAACACAAGCACACAAGCTTTTTTTTTCCAAGTCAGGCTTTCTTTCTATGCTGTAGTCTCGATCACAGAATGTGCCCTTCTCATTTTAATTTGCTCTGTAAATAACTTTACACAGTCATAATAAAAAAAAGGAACAGTCAGTTTGGGAAAAACAAATAATTGTTTTATATTTCAGAGCCTTTGCTGGTGCAATCTTACTGCCTCAAAAATTAACCAAGCAGAAAAAATTACACAGATAAAATTATGTGTCTGAAGAGACTCAGTAATTTTAATAATTTTACTACATTTTATTTTAAGACATTTATTCTGGATGACTTAGGATGGGTGATTAAAAATCAGTGCCAAATTTTGCTCTCCTAATTTCTAAGTTATACAGCAGGTGGTGGAGATGGAAAGGAATAAGGAGAAAAATATTCTGCATGAAATGTAGTGTAAGTTTTGTGTGCTTATGAAATTAATTGGTGGAATTTTCTGCAAAAGTATGGTAACAAATATAGGCAATACTTTAGTAGTATTTCTTCAGCACTTTTGTAAAAAATCAACATGGATATAGATCCATGCCCTTGTTTTTTAACCTTTTGCAGTTTTATCTTTATTCTAGAAGTATCTAAAAAGTGTTTGCCATTGTGCCTTGAATAGGAGAGTTAGAAAAGGGTGACAAGACAAGTATGTTTGACAAACAACTCAGCTTTGAAAGAGAAAATGGTGAGCATCAGTTCTTATTATCGATTCTCTGAAGGTGGTTTCTTCTAAGGATGGGACCCAGAGGCACTAAAGTGGCATCTGAAACACAGCAAACAGTGTAGTCCCATCTCAGAAGTGAAATACCAGCAAAAAGAAACCTGTAACAGTTACAAACAGTTCTCAGAACCCACTGGACAGTGCAATTACCTTGTGCACAAGATGGCTAGAAACAACATTTAGCAGGTCACTTTTGCACAGCCTTTGTAAATTTTTTACACTGTTATTTGCTTCACCTCATTTAAGTTATATCATCCTGATGTAATTCCCCCAGATGTTCCATTTATATAAGCAATGAGTGATGATTGCTAGACAAAAACACACTTTTGATAGAATTACATTTAGAAATATACTGAAGTAGTTACAATTCACTTTCCCTGTGCAGCATGATTGTAATGACATTACCATATCTCACACAGTGGTAAATTAACAGCTAATTATATTTATCCTGAAACTTTTAGGACAGTTTTCTGGATCCATCAAAAGGCCTGTATGGTATTCCTGATTTACTACTGCTGAATAGAATCTATGCTTATTTTAAGGCTTTTCCCATCTATTTAGAAGTTCTTCCCACTATTTAAGCTGGAAAAGAAATACAGAAGATCCAGCTAACAAGGTACAACAAGCTAAAAACACACAAAAATCTATGCTAATTAAAAAAAAAAATCTATTTCCAATATGGGTAAGTCTCTCCTTGGAAGTGCTAATCGGCAATGAAAAAAAGATAC